AATGCATGACTTTCCCCCTAAACCCTGAAGCGATGGGGTAGGCCCACCAGTGGGGTGAGGCTGGCTGCATGTTCCAGTGTTGTTTGAGGTGGGACAGTGAGTGAATGGAATTAACACTTCTATTTTATTGAGGTCTGAAGATACCTTAACATTTAAAATTTAACCCAAGATGCAGATGGTAGGGCTCAAGTGTCTCTAAATCAAGACAAATGCAGACCTATTCCCACTTTTTCACATAGTAGTGCACTGTTCAGAGTTAAACAAACAAAAATAGCATGCTTTAATGGTCTCTTAATTCATTCACCTGCAGCATCTGAACAAGGTGATGCAGGTGCTGGGGATTCTCCCCACCCCCACCCCAAGAGAGGCTTCCTATCCATGCACAGCAGTGCAAGTCTAGCTGGCTGCAGGAATATCGAGTGAGGGGAGAAGAGGCTAGAAAAAAGATCATGAAGGAAGGCAAGTTAGGGGCAGCTGGTGATAAATGGAACAGAAAACATGAAAAAGTAATTTGAGTGGAGGCTCTGGCATCATGGGCTGTGTGACAACAACTTCATCTCAGGATTCCTGACTACTTTTGCTACCTGTGTTTCCTCTAGACTGAAGAGTGGAAAACATATCCATGAACATTTCAACATGGGGGAAAGAATTATAATTCCTTCTGTGGAGATCTTCATTGAAGAAAATTTACTGAAATGTTTAAAACCAAAGGGAAAATAGTGTTATACTGTTGTTTTTTAATTAACCTGAAGGCAGGAAAAACTGTTTAGAAACTAATGATGATATCACTGCAAAAATAATTTCATTCTTGAGGGCTGCCATATGAGCTGACTTCCTGGGAAACGATTAATAGGACTGAGATATCTACTACGGGTTTAGAAATAACAGCAAAATCTGTGGGGTGCTTTGATCTGGAGAAGAGAAGGCAGCAAGTAGCCTAAGAGGCAATACGCTAGTATTCAGAGGGAAGAAATCTCACTGCAAAATAAATAACTGCAAAGAAAATACAGATAGTATTCTAAAGACTGAGTAGAATTCCCAACATCAAGCTAAGAAATGGATGAGATTTCTGTGGCCACCTGAGGAGTCGGAGGCATCATTACAAAGTTAAGCAAATTCAATCCAGTGGAAGGTTCTGTCTACTATGAGATTAGGAGTCCAGGTGTCTTGACACTGAGTGCCATGTAGAGAAGGGTCATTTTCTTGGTATCTGGGAGACTTGCACCAGCTTAACGTGTGAATGTTGTCTGAACTTTAGGTCTTTGGTTTGGGTTCTTTGTGGGTGAGCTATTCTACCTTCCCACACCTGTAGTAGGTGAAATACTGAGAGAACTTTTGGAAACCAAGTATGAGATTCTTCCCAAGTCTCTATGCTTCAGTGCTAGTATATTTGAAAACCCAATTTCTAAAAAATGCTTCCATTAAACATGGGCATTTTTATTATGGCAGACAAAATCATGCTCCAGTCTAGTCCACCCATAATTAAATCAGCATAAAGCCTTCTTAAGTCACATTTTTTTTTCTTTAGCTGAGCCATCCTGCCACCTGTTGGCAGCTCAGCGGCAGCTTAGCTCGGGCCAGGAATCGAACCGCTGTTGCTTAGAGCTCACACTGTTGAGCGAGCTCTTAACCAACTGAGCTACTCGGCCGGCCCCTTAAGTGACATTTTTAATGGCTAATTTTTAAATGTGGCATTGCTTCACACTTAGTTTTTCAATTGATAACTTGTGCACACCAGGAAAGATGTATTATTGGGTTTAGCCATATGAAATTGTTGGTGTTCAACCATTTTTAAGAAATAGAAATGACAATTTCATATGATTTAGTATAATAGAATTGAATGATTTTTATTCCCCTCTTTCTATCTACACTAAAGTCCATTTTGATTTTATGGTCATCCCTGGGCTCTATGAGATTGGAAAAAAAGCTAAACAATGTACCTACTTTCGTGATACTCAGGGTTACCTAGGCTAGTAAAGGATTTAAGAAAACCTATGACCCACAGGCAGAGAAACAGTTTTCTAAAAGAGCCACTGGACAGGAAGGAAGTCAGGCTGCAGAGAGCAGTGGCTAGGCTTGGCAGAAGGCTGGAGATGTGTGTATGTACCTGTGCCCGGAACCAGCACAGGAGTTTTTATTCAGTGGAGTTATCGCAGTAATGACCAGCCATGCCATATAAACTTCTGTGAACTTCTCTGTGTGCTTGTTTTTTGTAGAGATGGAGGAATAGGCTGCTTGGCTCTTTAGTTGGGTCTTAATAAAGCTTTGCTTATCTCTTATGTTGCTTACTTTTTTATTTTGGAGAGAAGCAGCTAACAGAAAAACCCTGATGATGGTTCTTGTAAAGAACCAACTAGGTAGGACACACCTTCTCTTCATTAACACCAAGGCTTTATTGTCATTTTGGTTAACCAGGGAGCTTTCAGCAAATTATAAGAAATTTTCCTCATAGGGAGGAAAAATAAACACTGAGTTTCCCAACCTAGTCTTAGGTCAATCCATAGATCATTGTGTTTTACCCTAAAGGGTCTGGTAGTCTTCATTGCAAACATTTATCCTGACATACTTAAATATGAGTAAATGGAGATTTGACAAGACCAAAATTTAGCTAGGGATGTAGATATTTGGTTGGTGTTTTTTAATTCAGGTGATCAGAGTAAGTCACTGACTGACCTATGGTCCTAATTATTTTTTGCAAGATGTGGAGAATAATGCTGACCTTACCAGGGGTCTAGAGTGTGAGCCATTTATTGAAATGCTTCCACTTCTAGAAGCATTATGCCTACACCGAGTCATGAAAAGTAGGCTGCCATGAAGCCCAGAAACCATTTATCTCAAGGCCTACTGTCTGCTGCCAGTCTGGCATAAACCAGATTGAAACTACTGAGTAATGGTGCATCTAACTAAACAAAGCTCTTCAGAGAGGGTAATCTTAATTCATCCTCTAAACATATTTGTTCTGGGTTGCGGGGCCGTGTAACAGTTCAGCCGAGTTAGGTGTTCTAAAGGAGAGGATCTCAACCATGGCTGCACATTAGGATTATCTGGCCCATTTTTAAAAAATTATCAACAAAAGGCCCTACCCTCAGATATGCAGAATCAGCAGGGACCTGGCTTCCGTGCTGTGTTTTGGCTCCTCAGGGATTCTAACCTGTAGCTAGGATGAGAACCGTTAGTCTAGAACTTGCAGTAGACCCTATTTGCAACGTTGAAGAATGGCCTAGCAAATTAAGTTTTAAAAATTGGTTAGTTGTGTGCAACAAACTAAGTGTTGATAAGTAATACAGACTGGGTACCTGTGAGTGAGTTTTGTACTGTTAATCTTTGCAGAACTGAAGAATGTACTCTATAAAGTACAACTGGTAAAAAAAAAAGTCACATTTGAAACAGACCTTGAGAAGGATGACTTGAGTGTATGTGGGGGGCGGGAATTACAAACCTGTCATCTTTGCCCCCATTTGTGGAAAAAAAGGTGGTTTTATGTTAACTGAGCTGCAGACTATTCAAATGTGAAGATTTCTGAGAAGCTGTCTTTTCAATTTAACCTGGGATTAAAGTAATAGTCCCCTTTGCAGTCAAGTGAACTTTCTCTGCACACTCCGCTTGTCCCCATGCCAGCATCCATGCTGGACTCCTCAGAAAGAGGGTGAACCCTTGTATTGCCAGAGCAGAGGCCCTGTGCTAAGTGGAAGGTTGTGATTACAGTAATACCTTGGTTTGCGAGCATAATTCGTTTCAGAAACAAACTACTCATATTGCAAGACATCGCTGGTTGCTAAGTTAAAATGTATTAGAAATGTTTGCTCGTCTTGTGGAACACTCACAAACCAAGTTACTTGCAATCCAAGGTTTGACTGTACTTTGCTGTCATGTGGTGGCATTGGTAGCTGGTTATTAAGGAGATGCAAACTTTTGTGTAGCACTGACAAGAGGAAAGATACCAAACTCCTGTCATTCCTTTTAATATTCTTTTTGAGGACTACAAGGAGATCTGAACTTTCTCTCCTAGAGAAGGAAATTTGGAATTTAAATAAGCCTGCATTTCTTCCTAGGAAACAAGTATAGGAAAAGCATATGTTATTAAATGGACTCTGATCATCCGGGGTACTTACTGGGGTGACCAGACAAATAAGCATTGATGCCTTGCAGCCAAAAATCACACTGCGACATCAAGTGTTTCATCAAGCAAACAGCAAGGAGCTCTTTAGGCTGTGATCCCTAGACCAGAAAATGTCCTCTGTGGTTTGGTTGACAAATGAAATTTTAGAAAACACCAAAAATGTTATCTTAGCTATCCATGAACATTTCAGTGCAGGGCAAAGAAGTAACAGTTCCTTCCAAAATAGAGGTCTGTTTCACGTCCCCCACCCCCTTGTATGTCTCCCTTTCTCTGTCCATAGTTGGAGTTAATGTAATCATTTCAGATATTTAATGTGAACAAAATGATTTTTAAATGTAGACATACCACTGATGTACTTAGAGGAGGTCCGTGGCAGGGCACGTGAGCAAATTATCAGAGGGGAAATCATGCGCTTGGAAACCTATCCTGGTTACCCATTGTGAGAGATATATCAGAAAGCTGATTTTACCATCTGTTGTCAAATGTAATCTGGAATGAGGGCTGCTAGAAAGTCAGCTTGCTGATTCAGTAAGTACATGACTTTTTATTTCACTTCAGAAATGGGAAACTTCACAAGTTTGCTTTCACCACTGAATGTTGCTTTCACCACTTTGATACCCAAAAAAGACCTTCCCCCTTTCTAAAACCTAATAAGAACAACATAAAAAGAAATACTCTAGAAAACAGTGCGAGTGCCTACCTAGGAAAAGCAAGCAGGCTCTTTGACAACCCTTTCAAGACAAGATTTAGAAATAAACCATTTTTCCAGTTTCAATTTTCATAACTAGAGTTTGGTTTTTCTTTTTTAATTAGCAAATGCATCTTGTCACCCAGTGCTAGCAGAAATCGTAAAGAGGAAAACCAAAGTTTTTGATGTCAGTTTTATGTTTGTAAGCAGGGTATACTATAACCATGGCCCCCATGGACCACACAGGCAGCCAGTTTTCTGCTACGTGAGTCTTGGAGATGAGAAGGAAGGGCTGGCTGCTGTTCTGCTGCCTTTTGAAACGGTCTGAAACAAACATGAGAGCCCTTGGGAAAGATCACCTCATTCTGATGGCCATCTTTTAAAGGTTAACAGAAATACCAAATGTCATAGTCAGTTTGACCCTTGGTCAGTGGAAAATGACCTAGGCCTGTATATGTTGGAGGAGCTCAGAGAGAAAAGGACTTGTAAACAGCATGAAGAGCTCTACATCTGTTGATAAAGCACTTAAAAAAGTTAAGATTCAAGTGTGACTGGGTGACTGTTTAACTGCATGGATGTTTGGGGGTTGACTTTTGTTGATTATTCCAGTTGTGGGCTTTGGAGAAGCAAAGGAATGATTTTCAGTTGTGTGGGTGTGAAGTCTATGGATTTGCAATTTATCACTGAAATCACTCATTCAAAGTGTGACTTCATAGTAGGGTCACCTCCCCCTAGGTTGTCTTTATTTTTTACATAAAATACATCTGTTACAACTTACTTAGAAAGTTTTACTATGTTCATTAAAATTATTAAGTGGGAAGGCCACCAAGATTCATTTGATAGCTGAACAGCAATTTTAAAAATAGAATAGGTGAATTTAACATGGGATGATGTGACCTTCTGGGGAACATTATTTATAGAGAGAGAGCTTACATACTGTAATTGGGGAGAATTTTTTGTCTTCTACTTCCATTCAACAGTGGCAAACTGGTGGTTTTATAAAAATAACCTAGTATATTATATAAACATGTAATATAAAATAATATTAAAATGTGTTTAACAGTGAAACAGTGAAGACATGGAGTTATCAGCAACCTTTATGTGCAGTAAGGAAAACTGCAGTTAGGCCCCAAAGTGCTATCTTTCCCTAGCATCCTACTTAATGTTTGCCTTTGTGTATATGTTTAGATTGATATTGTAAAGCTATCCACATGTTTTCCTGCCTTTGCTGAGATTTAACACATTTTTCTCAAAGCTTTTTTTTTTTATAAAACTCAAAATAAAAAGATTAACTGGCTGAACTAATCTTGTTTTGTATTTTAAATGTATTTTCTGTTAGAAGGGTGCAGTATGATCCTATTCTCAGTCTCTTTCCCTCACTGAGAGGCTCTTTTCTGGATGGAAGCTATTCCTCTCCAGCTTCATTTAGACCAGGAGTTGACAAATTATAGCTGGCCCCTCAACCAAATCTGGCCCACTGCCTGGTTTTGTAAATAAAGTTTTATTGGCATACAGTACACTCACTCATTTGCACATTGTCTGTGACTGCTTTCATTTAGAACTGAGGAGTTGTGACAGAAATGAACAACTATTTGCTCATAAAGCCTAAACTGTTTACTATCTGGCTTTTTACAGAAAAGATTTTTGCTGACCCCTGATTTAGATGCTTGAAAAACGTTAGTTTTAAAACAGTGTCTAAAAATCATGGCAACAGATAGTTGAGATTTTACAAAAATGTTAAAAGAAACACTTTAAACTTGGTCTCTGCTTGTGACTTCTCCTGGCCTGCAACAGTCTTTAACAAGCTTTGAGTGTTGGATAATTGCTAAGACTTGAACCCCACATTACAGTTACCTTCATAGTCTTCATAATCCTTTCTATGTAGGCTAGCTTTTCCTGGAACCATGCAATCGGACTATATCGTAAAATCTTCCTAGCAAAATTAAACAAAAAAATCTTATTAGCATGACTCCAGAGTCATTTAATAGTATAATTACAAAAATACCAGATAGAACAATTTAAAAGCAAAGTTTGTTACTATTCATTAGGGTTTTTCCACCCTAGGGAGAAAAATTACTTTTTAAACATTGGTTCATGGGCAAGGGTAAGGGAAGCTCTTTGAAGATGAGTCAGATTTAAAAGAATACCACCCAGACCTTTTTTTAATAATAAGTAATTTAATCAAGATACACAGGACTGCACTTGGCCCTTATTCACATTGATATTTTGTCCAGACACCTGCTGATGGGAAATGGTACCAAATTACATCTCTTCTTTGTTGTGAGGATGCCTTGTTGAAATGGCTCCAGCAGAGGCAGGTTCAGGCTGGGAACTAAAGCTCTTCTTACTTTATTGCCATAATTATCCACATTACACTGTCACTTCCTTAGTGGAAACTTTGTCTCAACCAGTGTGTTGGTCATTATTGAATAAGCTCATGACATTCCTGCTCTGCAGAACTGCACAGCAGTTGGTACCAAATCATGTTGCGGTCTCTGACAGCGTGATAGATTGCCTCCACAGCATGCTGAGTGCCCTGGTTCATGGTGACTGACCTGGAAGGGAAAGAACAAAGGATGTTTGAACTTCAGAACACAGAAATCCACAAACAGAAAGCCTGTTGAACCCTGACGATGTAAAGCCTCTTAAATATGAAACCTTTAATCTTCCTTATCTAAGTTGCATTATCCAAAGCTGGAAATCCATACTGAACCAGTATCTATCATTTCTGCTTTGTGAAGACAGGCCAGGAGAAAATATGACCCAAGAGTTGTTTGGTGAGAATAAAGGCAGGAAAAAGATGGGGGTACCTCTGTCAGTATGACTGTGCTTTCTGCAGCTGCTGCTGTGGGGCACCTGTTCAGGAGAATAGAACTTTCTGAGACCTGCTGGGTAGAGTAGGGGTAAGAGCTGGGGTTGAAGCTGTCCCTCTAGGCACAAATGATGTAACCCTTCATCCTTCACTTGTGTACTGGTTTACATGTGCAAAATAAATCATGCTAACAATTGGCTGTTCTGTACAACTGAGGCTTTATATAAGCAACAAAGCCCTGTTTCCTCTGAACTTTTTTCTTCTTTTGTTAAAACACATTGCTTATGTCACTGTATGGGAGCAGCAGAGAGTAGGCTGACTTAGGGTATGTTAGTACTAGTTCTGCTACCAGTTTCTTGTGATCCTTCCTCTCATCCTAGATGTATGCGGAATTTGACATTATTTTCTAATGTGGTAAAACTGTCCATCACCTTAATATAACTACTGATGCAGTGTTTGGAAAAGAAGTACTTTCAACATGATTAAAAAGGTACAATAAAGGGCCGGCCGAGTGGCGCATTGGTTAGGAGTTGGCTTGGGATGCCAGCTCTGAGCAGCAGGGCCCTGGTTCGGATCCCACATGAGGGCCAGTGACACTGCGCTCTACAGCTAAGATGGTGAACAACAGCTTGACCTAGAGCTGGGCTGCCATGAGTCGCCGGTGACGGCATAGACTGCAGCCCCTGCTGTAGTGGGCTGCCATAAGCTACCATGTGTGGCCAGCAGCCAGTGTGAGCGGCCAGCAGCAGATGTGAGCTGCCAAGAGCCGCTGTGAGCGGCCGTCCAGAAGCCGGCGGCCAATCTGCCTCACCTGGGAAGAGCGCAATGGTAATACCAACATGGGCCAGTGAAGCAACGTCTTCCACAACTAGACTGAAGAACAAAAGGACAGCAACTTGTCTGTTCCCCTTCCCCCGATTCTCCAGTGCTGTTCCCCTCCCCCAATTCCCCAATAAAATCCTTTTTAAAAAAGGTACAATAAAGATTTGCATTCAGCATTAAGGAAAAGCTAATTTCACAAAGACCTTTCTATGAAGCTTTAGTATTCTATTAGTAGAGGTTATTTACATTAAAAAGAGCCACAATGTCAAATTTCAGTATAATTTAGTAAAAACCAATTTCCAGATGGGCTAACTCTGGTTCCAGGTAAGATAGAGTAAATACATTTCTCCTTATTCCTCCCACAAAGTGTAACTGAAATCTCCAAACATGATACATAAAACAAACATAAGAATCTGAAGGGTGGGGAGAAGAAGATGGACTGACTAGAAACCTTGGAAAATGAGGAGCAACATAGCTATGAGTCCCCTGGGTTTTCCTTTTGCCTCCTCTACATCCTGAAATGGGTGTTAAAGAAGCCAGCAGGCCAGAAATTCCACAGATCAAAAAGCCTCAAGAAAATCCTGTTATCTCTAGTCAAAAGGCAGGGACAGCCTAGGAAGACAGAAACCAAGCACCACAGAAATAATCCCCCCTCCTATCAGTAGAGGCCTATTGGGAAACCAGAACTTCTGTACTACCATCCCCACCTGGCAGTAACCAGGTGATACACCCCTTCCTCCACCAGTGCAGTATCAGTGGTGACCTGCTAAAATAGAAGATTTAAATAAAATTCAGAGATTAATAACATGTTCAAATGTTCAGGATACAATGAAAAAATTACCTGTCAAACCAAGAATCAGGGAAATTTCAACTTGAATGAGAAAAGACAACTGACAGATGTCAACTGAAATGAAAGAGATACTGAAATTATCTGAAAAGTCTTTTACGCCACTATCATCAAAATGCTTCAACTGGCTATTATGAACACACTTGAAAAAAATTATTTCTTGGCAAGTAAATATAGTATAAAAAGGAAACCAAATGGAAATTTTAGAATTGTAAAATACAATAACCAAAAATTTATAACCTCACTGGATGGGCTAAATGGCAGAATAGAGATGACAGAGCAAAGAATTAGTGAATCTGAAAACAGAACTATAGAAATTACCCAATCTGAGCAACGGAGAGAAAATAGCATAAAGAAAAGATGAACAGAGCCACAGAGACCTGTGGTACTACATAAATGATCTGTTTGTTTCATCAGAGTTCCAGAAAGAGGGAAAACAGATTGAGGCTTAAAAAGTACTTAAATAAATATGGCTGAAAATTTCCCAGATTTGGAAGAAGACATAAGCCTACAAATTCAAGAAGGCGAATTAACCCCAAAGAAATCTACACCAACATACAGCATTCATTAAAACATATTGCTGTGTCACTGTATGGGAGCTGTGTCTCACAAATTTGGATATGATGCATTACTTTTGGAAGTGACTTGAATGTCAGTGGATTTCATTGGAGGACAGGAGGAAGTGATGCAATATTTTTCAAGTCCTGAAAGAAAAGAACTGTCACCTCAGACTTATGTAGTCCATGGAAATATCCTTCAGGAATGAATGTGAAATAAAGACATTCTCAGATGAAGGAAAACTAAGAATTTGTTGCCAATAGAGCTGCTGTAAAAGAACTGCTAAGGAAGTTCTTCCAACAGAAAGGAAATGATAAAAGAAGGAAACTTGAAGCATCACTAATGAAAAATGAACAAGACAAGGGATAAAATAGGAGTAAATTTAATAAACTATTTTCTTGTGTTTAAAAATATTTGAAGGGCCGGCCGAGTGGCTCAGTTGGTTAAGAGCTTGCTCAAGAGTGTGAGCTCTGAGGAACAGCGGTTCAATGCCAGGCACAAGCTGAGCAGCCACTGAGCTGCCAACAGGTGGTAGGATGGCTCAGCTAAAAAAAAAATTTGATAGTTGAGGCAAAAATTGTAACATTATATGATATGGTCCTCAATATATATAGAGAAAATATTGTAAGAAACTTGTAAAGGGGACAAGATAAATTAATCCAAATGGATATAAAGTTTCTACACTTCACTTGAGAGCAGTAGGTTGAAATTAGTTACACATGCATAATCTAAATAAACCACTAAAATAAGCATGCAAAGATATACATTGAGAAACACTGCATATTCAATAATATTGTAATAACTATAGTGTCAGATGGGTACTAATCAGGGGATCACTTCATAAATTATATAAATGTCTAACCGCTATGCTGTACACCTGAAACTAATATAAAATAATACTGAATGTCAACAGTAATTGAATAAAAAACCACTACAAACAAATCAAAATAAAATTCTAAAAAATGTTCAAGTAACCCACAAGAAGGCATAAAAGGGAAATGGGAACAAAAACCAGAAGGAACAAATAGATATCAAGTTTAAAAATGGCAAAAGAAATCTCTAGGCCCAGATATTTTCAATGGAGAATTCTACCAAACATTTAAAGTAGAATTAATGCCAATTCTACAGCGTCACTTTCATAAAATTATGAGGATTATCATTACCCTGAAACCAAAATCAGACTAGGTACAAAAAAAGAAAACTACTAACCAATATCTCTCACAAACTTATGAACAAAAATCCCCCAAAAAGCATTTAAAAAATCAAATTCAACAATATATGAAAAGATTTAAGTAATGACTAAGTGGGTTTATTTTAGGGTGCAAGCCTGGTTTGATATTCAATAATTAATCCATGTAATCTACCACATTAACAGGCTAAGAAAGAAAAAACACATGGTCAAATCAACTGATGTCAAACCGGCATTTAACAAAATTTAACACTCATTCATGATAAATATTCTCAGCACACTAGGAATAGAGGAAACTTCCTTTATTTGATGTTAAAAATCTACATAAACCTATATCTAACCTCATTCTTTATGGTGAAAGACTGAATGCTTTCCCTCTAAGATCAGGGAGAAGACAAAGATGTCTCCACTTAACCAGTCTTATTCAATATAGTGCTAGAAGTCCTGGCCAATGAAATAAGACAAGAAAAGGAAATAGAAGTCATACAGACTGGAAAGGAAGATGTAAAATTGTTCCTGTTTGCAGGCGATATGATTAAATACATAGAAAATCCCAAAAATGTACAGAAATTCCCTCCTAGAACTAATAAGTGAAATGAGAAAGTTTTTAGGATACAAGATCAATATTTAAAAATCAATTTTATTTAGATATACTAGAAATGAACATCTTGAAGCCAAATTTTAAACTTGTACTATTTACAGTTATTCAAAATAAATACTTAGGTATGAATCTAATAAAACAAGTAAAGTACTGGTACACTAAAAACTACAAAACACTAATAAAAGAAATCAAACAGGATGTAAATCAATAGACATAAATACGTTTATCAATTAGAAGATTCAACATAGTAAAGATGTTAATTTTCCCCAAATTGATCTATAGGTTTAACAAAATTCCTATCAAAGTCCATCAATGCCTTTTGTAGATATAGACAAGCTTATTCTAAAATTTACATGGAAAGGCAAGGAAACTAGAATAGCTAAAACATTTTTGGAAAGAATAAAGTTGGAATCATCACTCTACTCAATGTTAGATTGAGTACATTATCTAACTACATTAATCACAACAGGGTGGTATTGGTGGAGGGACAGATGCATAGATCAATGGAGAAGAAAAAGCCTAAAATAAACATACATATGTATATTGCTAACTGATTTTTGACAACAGTGCAAAAGCAGTTCATCAGAGGAAGGAGAGTCTTTTAGAACAAATAGTGCTGGAGTGGTTAGACATCCAAAGGCAAAAAAATAAGCCTTGACCCAATCCTCACACTTTATACAAAAATTAACTCAAAATGAAGCATAGAATTACATATAGGTATAGATA